ACACAGTGTGAATGGAAGAATTCATGAGACACAATGTATAGAAACTAAACACAAGGTATACAACTTCTGTATACAAACCAATATAAATCATTTTTTTTAAATATTAAGTGGTGAGAGAGAAATAAAATGAAAAGAAGTGTTGCATTGGTAAAATCTTCTGTCAAGGACTTCTCCAAAGTGATAAAGAGCAATAATGCCAGCTTGAAGACTAAGGAACACCTGATCGAAGCCAGGATCATTTCAGTTACTTTATATGCATCTGCAAGTTGGACAATGGATAATGATGCTAGAATAAGAGTCAATGCCTTTGAAGTGGAAGTTGAAGAAGAGTACTAAATATCCCATGGACGGCCAAAAGAAGAAACAAGTCTGTCTTGGAGACAGCTAGGGTGCTCTTTAAAGTTAAAGATGTAAAACTTCATCCCACATACTTTGGGCATATGGTCGGAGTGGACCAAGCATAGGAAAAATGACATCATGATGGGAAAGACTGAAGGTCAGACAAAAAGAAGAAGACCCCCAACAAGATAGGTTGACACAATGAATGTATCAACAGGCATGAGATGGTGCAGATGGGATGGGATAAGGCAAACTTCACAGAGTTGTTCACAGAGCTGCTGTAAGTCATAGTAAACTCAGTGGCATCTAACAAAAATAATAGTTTTAAACATTAATCAAGGATCCCTGGTGGTGCATAGCTTAAGTGTTCAGGTGAAAACAGTTTGAGAACAGTGGTTTGAATTTACCTAGTGGCTCTGTTGGGAAGAATGGGAGAAGACTGGGGATCCCAGGACACCTGACTGTGCTCATGTGAAACCTATACTTGCATAGTATAGTATATAATTGCATAACTATACCAGAGAGCATTCATCAGAACAGAGCAAGGAAACACTGCAGGATTCAAAACCAGGAAAGAAGTGTGTTAGGGATGCATGCTTTCTCCCTACCTTTTCAATCTATATGCAGAACAGATCATTCAGATGGCTGGGCTTTATGAGTAGGAATGTGGTATCAGGATTGGAGGAAGACTTATCAACATATGTTGTTGTTGTTTTTGTTGTTGATGATTGCTGTAGAGTCAAGCATGACTCAGCGACCCTATGAACAAAAAATTGAATTAATTTGTTTGAATTTGTATGGTTGTTTGTTGTTATTTAGTGCTGTCGAGTCGTAGACGACTCATAGCAACCCTATGAATGAACGGCCTGAGCACCGTTCATACATAGAGGTTCCAGAGGCAAGCCATTTCGGAAGTGGATGCCGCTCCTGCTTCCAGGCTTGATTTAGTCGGGAAGCTCCAGCCAACACTGTCCACCATGGGTGCCCATTACCATGATTGGCACATCACTATCACAGTCTTCAGCATCACAGCAACCACGAGTTACCTCTGTACAGCAACGCACAGACCAGTGCTATACCACCTCCGGCTTGGTTTTGTAAATAAACTAGTGAAGAAGAAAACATTTTAAAAAAGATGTTGCCATGATGGGTTAAAGATAAAAACCAAAGAATGTCATAAAAAATAAATTCAGCAAAAGTAGGGGGAAAGCAAATTAGGTAAAAAACTCACAAACAGAACTTTGGAAGTATAGAAAATGTTTGCTTTTTAAGTTAAATGCTAGCTAGCTAAGACATAAGCTATTGTTATTTACATTTTACATGTATTAATATTCTTTTGTACATAAAAATAGAATATTTTCACTTAAAGATTGAAAAAAAAAATCAAGGAAGGTGTACATTTGGGTCATATCCTTTCTCCGTACCTATTCAATCTGTATGCAAAGCAAATGACTCAAAATGTGGGGTTTTATGAAGACTGTGGCATCAGAATCTGAGGAATGCTCATCAACAAACTGAGGCCTTAGCTTCCCTAAATCAAGGAGGGCCTGAGGCACTTGTTGCAGAAGGTCAAAAACTACAGACTTCAATTTGAATTATATCTCAACATGAAGAAACGAAAAGTCTTGACCACTGGGGCACTAGAGAGAAACATGGTGGATGGAGAGAAACTAGACATCATGATTGTTGTTGTTGTGTGCCATCGAGTCACTTACGACTCATAGTGACCCTATGTACAACAGCCCTAAACTCTGCTCTGTCCTGTGCCAATCGCACTGTCTGCAACACACCCATCCTGATTGCCCCAGTCACTGAATCAATCCACCTCATAGAGGGCCTTCCCCTCCTGTGCTGTCCTTCCACACTACCAAGCATGATGTCCCTCTCAAAGGACCAATCCCTCCTTACAACATGTCCAAAGTATGTTAGACGGAGCCTCAGAATCCTTGCCTCCAAGGAGCCTCCTGGTTTAACCCTCTCTAGGATGAATCTGTTTGTTTTCCTAGCAGTCCATGGTACCCTCAATACCCTCCAGCACCACAGCTCAAAGGCATCAATTATCCTTCTCTCCTCCTTAGTCACTGTCCAACTCTCTGATGCATAATAAGTGATAGCAAAGACCATGGCCTGTATCAGATGCACCTTAGTTTCCAGAGAGACACCGTTGCTCTTCAGTACTTTGGAGAGGTCCCTAACAGCAGACTTTCCCATGGCAATAAGTCTTTTAATTTCCTGACTACTGGTGCCAAGAGGGTTGACTGTGGAGCCGAGATAGGTGGAGAAAAGATTGAATTTGTCTCGTTTGGATCCACAATCAACATCCTTGGTAACAGCAGTCAAGAAATTAAAATATATGTTGCAATGGGGAAGTCAACAATCAGAGACTTCTCCAAGGTACTGAAGAGCAGTGATTTCAGTTTGAAAATTAAGGTATGTCCCAAATGATCTTTTCAATTACTCTCTATGCATATGAAGGTTGGACAATGGATGATGATGATGCTAGAATAAGAATCAGTGCCTTTTAGCCATGGTGAAAAGAACGAACAAGTACATCTTGTAGAAGGTGGAACCAGGGTGTTTCCTGGAGGAAAGGATTTTGAAATTCCATCTCGCACACCTTCGGTATATTGTTGCTGTTGTTGTTTATTGCCTTCGAGTCAAGCATGACTCATAGTGACTCTGAACAAAAGACCTGAAGCCCCTCTACACCTATTGACATTTATCAAAGTTCATAGAGTTTCCAGAGGCATGTTGTTTAGGAAGTGGATGTCACTCCTGCTTCCAAACCTGTCATCATATGTTATTGTTGTTATGTGCCATTGAGTCACCTGTGATATATAATGACTCCACGTAGAGCAGCTCTGAACCCTCTCCTGTCCTGAGCCAGTCTCACTAATTCCAACACATCAACCCCCATTGCCCCAGTTGCTGTATCGATCCATCTCATCTGGGGTCTCCCTCTCTTGTGCTGTTCATCCACCCTTCTGAGCATGATATCCTTTTCCAAGAGATAGAAAGACTCTCAATGACATGGTTTGATAGAGTAACTGAAGCAGTGGGCTCAAGACTATCCAGGATGAGGATGGCACAGGGTAGAATCAAGACCAGGTCTGCTATTCTTAGTGTCACTATGAATTGTGATCAACTCATCAGCACCTGGTGATAAAAATGACGCAGCCATCAAGTCAATTTTAGTGCATAACAAACTAATATGGCAGAGACCTGTCCCACACAGATTCCAGAACTATACATCTTTACAGAACCAGAGTTCTTCATCTTTTTCTTGTGAAGCAGCTTTTGGGTTCAAACCATCAACCTTTGCGTGCACATCCAAGTTCATGAAAGACAGCTCTACTAGTGTTCCTCACCACCGCCCTTCAAATTCATTAAGTTGGTACATGTTCCAGGAGAGAGCCCCTATCTACCTTGTTCCCTGCACAAGGCAACCTTACCCCTGATTCTTATTATCTGAGAGTTGTCAAGAAGCTCTGAGATTATCTTCCTTGAGTAGCCAAGTCCTGATCTTGTAAGGATGTAGAGATGGCAGTATTTGAGTTTCCAAAGGCGTATCAGTGGATCCCGAGAATCCTCCCAGCATGAGGAGAAATCCAGTGCCGTATTGACAGGCCAATTGCTCCTCACGCATCCCTCCACTCTCCCCTCCTTAAAACTGTCATGATTCTCCTGAAATACAAATGCACCCATGTCGCCCGCACTGCCATTTTCCTGTCCCTTAGCCTGGAATAATAGTCGTAGCAGAAATACTGATAGCGATGTTGCGGAGAATAAGGATAATGTGGTAACTCACATTAGGTGAACATTCACATTATCAGGTGTCGTTCAGCGTATGACAAGCACACTGCTGGAAGCACTAAGACATCATCACATTCTGTCATCAGAATACACAAAGAGCCATTCTAAAACAAGGTGGAAAATTAGAAAATTGATGTTCAGAGACACAGAACTACTAAGTGGGCCAGCTGGGTGTCAAGGGCAAGTTTCCCTTACTTTAGCAGTTCTCTTAGCGTTCTCAGATACTGTATAGTTTGGCCGAAAAAAATAACTTTGGAGAGCACGAAGTGACTCACACTCCTCTTGGGTTCAACTTGTAGAACTTTCTCGAACTGGAGCTCTATTCATACTGTTTAACTACTGTCTGTCTGCTTGTTTGACAGATTTAAGCTCCCCGAGATCAAGAACTATGTCTATGTCACTTCTATATTTCCAGCAGCTAGAAGGGGTCTTGAAACCTGGTTGGTGCTCAGTAAATAGCTAGGGAGTTAATGGATGGATCCCTGAATGAGTGAGTCCTTCAACCCACATCCAGCTCTGATCGTCTCCATGAACGCTCCATGCTTACGATGCCTCAGTGCTTTCCCCTTTCTCTAAATGTCTCTCATATTTTCCCTTTGCACTATTTTTTCTCTTTAAATTACCAATGTCTCCACACATCAGTCATAAACAACTCAGCAGCAGGGCTGATTTGTATCTTTTATTTTCCTCAAATCACTTAGCTAAAGTGGTAGCATTAATGAAACCCCTCTTCGTGACTGAGAGGTTCACTCACTGAAGTGGTTCGTTCTGACGCAGGAGCAGAAAGCAGAGTTGTGGACACCCATGAGGAATGACCTTTGTCTCTTTCTGCCTCTCGTCACCTGCAGGGTCCTCGTCTGGCATCATCGACCTCTTGCCGTCTCCCAGAGCAGCCACCAACTGGACCGCAGGGCTGCTGGTGGATAGCAGCGAGATGATCTTCAAGTTCGATGGCAAGCAGGGCGCCAAGATCCCTGACGGCATTGTGCCCAAGAACCTGACGGACCAGTTCACCATCACCATGTGGATGAAGCATGGCCCCAGCCCGGGCGTGAGAGCTGAGAAGGAAACTATTCTCTGCAATTCAGATAAGACAGGTGAGTCTCTAGGCCAGCGTCCTCATGATTTCCCAGTGGGTCCAAGCTGGTTGGGACAGGGAAGAATCAGATATGTAAAAGAGAACAGGTGTAGATACAAGGAGAGTAAAAGGTGAGCCCAGGCTTTTTAAACCTGGCTTCATTAGAACTCTGGATGGCCAGAATACTTTAGGATTGATATGGGTGTGGTTGGGGCGGAGTTTCATGCCTGCTTAAAGCACAATAACTCTACCTGTACTTACGTTATATATGGAGGTGGGGGCGGGGTTTGCTCAATACTTTTGTTTTTTAATTTTATATTGGTTCATTTACACAGTTCAAATACATTGTTTTTCACACTGATCTTTCCCATATCCTTCACCGTCCCCATCAAATTGTGAAACCTTATGAATAAACACACGCAAACACACACGCACACGCGCGTGCGCGCGCATGCACACACACACACACACACACAGCCATGCCCATCCTCACCCCTCTGCTTCCACCCTCTCCCCCTTTGGATCCTCATATTCATTTTACAACAATGATCTTATGCAATATTTGTCCTTATGGGACTGACATAGTTCACTCAGCATAATGCTATCCAGTTCTTCCCCAGTTAAGTAGTAATTTACAAAATCATTGCTCTTGCGTGCTGCATAGTATTCCATGATGTGAATGTACCATCACTTCTTAATCCATTCGATTGTGATTGTACATTTGAGCTGTTTCCATGTTCTTACTATGGTGAATAGCACTGCTATGAACATTGGTGTACAGGTCTCCATTTGTGCCTCAGTTCTCATTCTCCCTGGGTATATTCCAAGTAGTGGAATAGTTGGGTCATACAGAATTTCTATGTTCAGGTTTTGGGGGGTTTTGTGTGTTTTGTGTTGTTTTTTTTTTTTTTAGGAAGTGCCAAACTGCCTTCCAAAGAAGTTGTACCCTTTTACAGTCCCAACAGCAATGTATAAGAGTTCCTTACGGAGGTTTTTTTAGTAAAATTTTCTTTTGAATGAAAGAGTTTTGCTGATTTTTAAATTCCTACAGTTTGAGTGCTTCTGCCGTATCTGATAATGATCACTAGCGTCCTTCAAAATGAGGAGAGTGAGACTGTGTCTTCACACATACTTTGTACGTATTATTGGGAGGGTCAGTCCCTGGAGAAGGACAGCATGCTTTAAGGGAGAAGGTCAGTGACAAGGACGAGGACCCTCAAGGCCGTAGATTGACCCAGGCTGCTGTGGCGATGGGCCCATGAGAAACAGCAATGGTGAGGACGGTGCATTCCAGGTTATTCCGTTCCACATAAAATAGTTGTGCTTTGGCACTGACTCAACAGCACCTGAAGCAGCACGCATTGGTTAGACGTTCTCCAAATGCTGAGCTTCTATGGCCCAGTTCACAGTTTGGGTTAAAAGCACTTCATGATTCATTAAGTTAACTTCCATGTGCCTCAGTTTCCCTGTCTATAGAATGAGTATCATAACATTTCTGTATTATCAGATTTTTAAAATGAAGATTTACTAGGCTTTTCATGAGGATTTTTAAAATATTCTTATTATTAATTTTAATGAAAATTTAGAGACTTTGGTTTTCCATTCATTCATTGTTGCACTTTTCTCCCTGCCCACTCCTCCCCTCCAGTTCGTTCTTCTCTTTGAAAAAGAAAAGAAAAATTATTTCATTGTTATACAATTCCTCCCCTCAAGTCTACTCCACTATGCAGCCTTCATTCTGGATTCCTGTCATAACAGTAATACCTAATCATGTATCCCTTTTAAACAGATCTCTCCCTTATCTGTTTCAATGCAGTATACATAATTTAACCCATCTTTCTCAGTCTCCCCCCAGCCCTGATGTCAGTCCCGTTTTACAACAGTGGCACTCTGCAGTATTTGTCCTTTTGTGTCTGAGATATTTCACTCAGCATGATGTCCTCCAGGGTCACTCATTTTGAATAATATTGCATGAGTTCCTTGTTTTTCAATGCAGCGTAATAGTCCACTGTGTGAATATACCACAACCTCTCTATCCGTCTGTTTGTTGATGGGCACTTAGGTTGTTTCCAACTCTTTGCTATTGTGAACAAAGCAGATTTTTTAAAATGAAGATTTACTAGGATTTTAATGGTGATTTTTTTGTGACTTACTAGGAGAGCCCTAAGGAGCTCTGGTAGCCTAGTGGTAAGAATCTGTGCTGCAGTCTCAAAGGCACATGGTTCAAATCCACCAGCTGTGCCACAGAAAGAGGATGGGCAATCCCCCATGGGATTACTGCCTCTGAAAATGTGCCAGAGGGTCAGCTGTGGGTCACTTTTGACCCGATGGCACACAACAACAGACAACAGGGGGACCCTGGTGGTGCAGTGGTTAGACGCTCAATCTTAGTCAAAAAGTGAGTGGCTTTAATCCACCAATTGCTTCAAGGAAAAAGATCTTCACCCTTAGACACGAGACAGAGGCAGCTCTACTCTGTCTGGGAAGGTTGCTACGAGTCATAATTGACTCAACCACAGGATTTTTGTTTCTTTGATCTTAATGACTTTGATTCACTGAAAGTACTTGGACAAGTACCAGCACTTGGACATAGGAAGTGCAGTCTGTGGTACTCATTACTAGGCAGGTCGTTCCCAGCTTAAGGATTCAAATTATGATGAACTGTACTTATGAATGATTATTTTGTTCATAAATACTTCTAATTGCTAACAATGTCTGTTTATGTGTGTGTTAAAATATACCTGTTCTTTTATATGTAATACTTCTAACAGTGAAAGAGTGGATATATTTTAAAACACTGATACTGAAAAACAGATTTAGAAAAAGAGGTATTTGACTTAGGTTAGAACTGACTTATGACAGAATCATTGGGGACCATTTGTGTTGCACGATTTCTCACATCTTTAAAAATATTTTATACAATTTTCATTGCATTTCTTGTTTTAACAAGAAGAAAACATACCCGAGGAGTTAAATAATTAGTCACAGGTCATACAGTCAGTAAAGGCCAGGACTGGAATGTAAGGTTAAGCCAGCTAACTCCAAACCCTGTGATCTTGTCCCTATTCCTCACATGTCTACACTCACCAGTAAACAGCATTCATATTTTCTCTCTCTCTCTCTCTCTCTCTCTCCTTTTCCCCCTCCCTCCTCCCCCTTTCTGTCACCCTCCTCTCACCTTCCCACACACACTCTGATAAACCAAACCTGTTGCCATCAACTCCATCCTGACTAATGGAGACTCTATAGGATTGAACAGAACTGTAACATAATGTTACCACAGTTATAAATCTCTACAGAAAGAGAGACTGTTTCATCTTTCCACTGAAGAGTGTTTAGTGGGTTAAAACCACCAGCTTTCTGGTTAACAACCTATCTTAGTTATCTAGTGCTGCTATAACAGAGATCCCACAAGTGGTTGGTTTTAAGAAATGAAAATGTGTTATAATTTAGGAGACTGGAAGTCCAAATTCAGTGTGCCAGTTCTAGAGGAAGGTGAGAAAGACTGACTCTCTCTCTCTCTCCTTGAGGGAAGTCTCTGTTTCCTTCAGCATCTGTAGGCCCAGTTATTATTGTCCCTTAGCGACTTCCATGTGTCTTAGCCCTCTGTGGAATCAAGGAGCTTCTTCATACCAGAACTCAGGTCCAAAAAGCAGTCCTACTGAGAGTTGAGCACTGGAGAAGTTGACTGCACTCCTCACAGTTACCTCTTGGCGAAGTCCCCCAGTCTACTTATTTCCTATCTCTTTATCTCTAGTGAGAACCGCTTTTGGGTCACATACAAGTCACAACCTCTGCGAAACTACTTTTCTCTCCAGTTATGCTTAGTTGACTGTACCACCAAGGTGCCTTGATACTTTGTGGTTGTTGTTGAGCGTCACCAAATCAAGTATGATTCATAGTGACCCTATGAATAGCCAACCTAAACTCTGCCTGTGCCATCCTCATAATCTCTGACACACTAGAACCCATTGAAGTCACAGTGTCAATCCACCTTGTTGGGGGTCTTCTTTCCTTCACTGATCCTCCATCCAGAACAGCCTCACCTAGCTACATGTCCAAAGTATGAAAGAGGAAGCTTCATCTTCTTTGCTTCCAAGGAGCACTCTGGCTGCACTTTTTCCAAGACATGCCCTTTTGGCAGTCCATGGGGATATTCAGCACTCTTCTCCAACACCACAATTCAAAGGCATCAATTCTTCTTCTGTCCTCCTTACTCATTATCTAGCTCTCTGATGCATAGCAGGTGATTGAGACCATGGCCCAGACCAAGAGCACTTTAGTCTTCAAACTGACATGATTGTTCCTCAGCATTCTGGAGAGGTCCCTGACACCAGACTTGCCCAGGGCAATTCACCTCCTGACTTCCTGGCTGCTGGTACCAAGGGTGTTAATGGTTGATCCAAGCAAGCTGAAATCATGGAGAGCTTCAATCTTTGCTCCATCTATCATAGTGCTGTTAGTGCTGTAGTGAGGACTTTTGTTTGCTTGATGTTAAGATGTAATCCATACAAAAGGCTGTAGTCCTTGATCTTCTGCAGCAACAGCTTCATATCCTCTTTATGTTCTACAAGCAAAGTTGTGTCATCTACATAAGGCAAACTGATGAGTCTTCCTCCAACCCTGATGCCGCATCTTCTTCAGAGAGTCTGGCTTGATGCATTAATTTGCTCAGCCTACAGACCGAATAGATATTGAGAAATGATGCAACCTTGATGCACACCCTTCCTAACTTAAAACCATGCAGTGTTCCCTTGCTCCATTTGGACAACAGTTTCTTGGTATAGATTCTGTGCGAGCACAATTAAGTGTTCTGGGATTCTAATTCTTCTCAATGTTAGCCACTGTTGTGATCCACACAGTCAAATGCCTTTCCATAATTAGCAAAGCACAAGTAGACATTCTTCTGGTATTCCCTGCATTCAGCCAGGATCTATCTGATATCAGCAATGATATTACTAATGCCATGGCCTCTTGTAAAATAAGCTTAAATTTCTGGTAGTTTGCTGTCAATATACT